CCGGGGGGGTGGTCGGGGGTGGGGTTGGAGAAGCCCCCACGTCGTGGCTGCCGGGGTGGATCAGCCACGCTCGGCCCTCCCGGGCTAAGGGTAGACGGGTGGGAGGCAGGGAGGGTGCTCCGATGACGCACTTCAGGCCATTTGGGACAGATCCTGCCACTCCTCTTCGCGGCCTTCATCCCTCTGGGGGCTGGGCTGGCCACGCTGGGAGGTAGGGGAGAGAAATGAGAGGCGCTGGGCTTGCAGGGTCCAGCCTCCTGCTGCGGCCGGAGCGCTGTGAGCACCCCGGGCGCCCGAGTGTGACCACCTTGGTGCATTCAGGCTGGCTGCTTCCCTATAATCCCCCCAAAACCCCGACCCGAACTGCGCGGCTCAGCTCCCGCCAGATCCCCCCGCGGCTCCCCAGGCAGCAGCAGCGGGCGAGAAAAATCCTGCCGCGCTCAGGAGGCGAGCAGGGACCCAGCAGGGTGGTGACAGCCGGGCAGAGCGTGGTCCTGGGGAGGGGGTTTGGCGTCCTCACCTCGTGCTCCAGCGACAGACGTGCGCAGGATCGACCCCTGGGAGGCTGCCCGCCACCCCCACCGCCGCTGTTTGGCAGCCCCCAGAGCGGGGGCAGGGGCGGCAGCCGCAGGAGCAGCGTGGTTCGGATGGAAGGGCTGAGCAGGAGAGGATCCAGGGGGTGGTTTGTAAGATGGCTGCACCGTGAAATCCCCGAGCCTCGTACCCAACCTCATTTTCAGGCTGATCTCCTTCCCCCACGGCGCAGCTTTGGCCTCCGGACATCAGACGTAAGGGAAAGCCGGGCGCTGCATGAGCCATCGGTCGAGCACTCGGAGGCCCAGCTTCCCTGGCTCCCAGTTCAGGCAGGGGTATCCTGCTGGGAGAGGGGAAAACGAGGCCGAGGCCGGCTCTTTGCATCTCCCCCTGCCCAACAGCTTGCAGGGAAATGGAAGCTGGCAGGGGAAAGGACCCCGGCCTCCCAGAAAACAGAGATGCCAGAGGTTTAGGACTAGGGAAAGGGAAGAGCTCAACGGGATCAGGCTGCAAGAGGGGGCTTAGTGTCTAAACAAGCATTCTCCTCCTCGCCCGAGCGCTCGGTTCGCAGCCCAGGGCCACGCAGGGCTCTGCTGCCGGGGCAGAGGTTTAGGGATCAGCAAAGGGCAAGGGCAAGCAGAGCCCCTCCTCCTCCCAAACATAACCAAGACCCTTGGCAGGTCCCCAGCTTCGAGACCAGGCATTAAAGCCTGCAAACGCTTCGGCACTGGGTTCCTCCTGCCCCCCCCAACCCTGCCCCCCTTCCCAACAGCAGGTCTGAAAACAGGGATGGGAGGTTTTCCAGGGCAAAAGGGTAAGATCATAAAGTAAAATGTGGGGGAGCCCAGGGGTCCAGCTCCTGCGGGCAGGAGAGGGGTGGGAGCTCAGCAGGGCAGGGGGCAACACCAACCCCGCTCCCAGCTGGGAGGACAGAGACTTGACTCTAAGAGATGCGGCACTCGGGAGACATCCACAGAGATTAAGTTTATTTCCCCTACCGTCGGGATTATGGAACCACAGAAGCAGGAGTTTAAATATTTACAAAGCAACCCAGCGCCCCGCGGAGATGAAGAGAACAAAAGGGTGAGGGGAGGGAGGGCTCGCAGAGTGCAAAGGGGACAGGAGGGGAGCACGAAACTGGCACCTGGAGGGCAAAGGACACTGCGAACCTTTAACGTGGCTACTCGAAGGGGGCACTGGGAAGAAGCGAGATGAAGGAAGCTGCAAGGAGGGGACATTCCTCACCCACACCCCTTCTGCCACCTCCCACGGCAAGGGGGAAGCAGCCCACCCCACAGGACCCACGCTGGGGAGCGCTGGGCTGACACCACCCCGCTCCCGGTATCCGACCCCTGCGGGCACCATCCTCCGTTGGGAGAGTTACAGACGGCTTTGGCATGGCCAGCAGGGACGTGGGGGCTGGCTCTGGGGTACTTCAGCTTTGGGCCTCGCTCCCCTGTTGGCCACATTCCCTTGGGATGCCCGGAGCCATCCTCTGTCTCCGCCGGTGGCAGCGGGGCGGCTGTTCAGCCAGGATTTGGCCGCATCCCTCCCCCGGCAGCCAGCGCTTCAGCCTCCTCCGAGGCCCATTTGCTGCTGACAGCAACTCTCCCTTCGAAACCCCGATCTGGGAAAAAGGGCTAGGAGCAAAGGACAAGGATTTTCACGGTGGGGAACGGCACTCGACGTGTTTTCAGGAGTCCCAGGAGCGGGGACCGTGGCCAGCAGCCCCGCTCCCGGCCTCCCCCCTCCCGACAACTCGAAGTCTGAGCTTTGGCAACGCTTGTATAGCTTATCGACACAACACCGAGTCGAGGTGTGAGACAGGCCTAAGAGTCTCTAGGTTATTGCTACAGCGTAAGACAGGTTGGCTTCAGCCCTGGGGCCTCCTGAGCGCATCCTTGGCGGGTCACACTGAGAAATCAGACTTAAATTAAAGACAGAGGCAAAGGACTAATCGCTCCTGTTCAGCTGGCTTGTCCTAGGGCATGGTAGCCAGCAGGCTAGCTGGGTGGAGACCGCAGCAGCCCAGGGTAGCTCGGTAAGACACCATCCTTTCATCATAAGGTTCTCTCTGATGCAGATCTTGGCTTTCTGATCGGCCCCAGGGCGAGCAGCCTCCAAGCCCGCTCTCCACGGAGCCTCGAAATGATCGTACAGGGCAGACACCGACGACTATTTCAGTTCCAGGCAGAAGGGGAAGGTCCGCCGAGGTCTGCACCCCTCCACCCACCCCAGAAAGGTCAGCAGCAGATGACAAGACAACTGGATGCTAGGGAGAAGGGAGAGGTTTGAGGGGCTGTTTAAAAGTGACCGAGGGAAAAAAAAAAAAAAAAGAGGAAATGCAGAAATCAAGAGGCCCAAGAGGAGTCCCCAAGCCTCCCATACAGCCAGAGGAGTCGGGGAGATGGAAGATGAGGCACACGGGGACAGGTCTGAGCCAGCAGGGTGATGGTGACTGGGCTTCCCAGTCAGAAGAAGCCACAGGGACAGCAGGCAGCAGAGAAGAGCTTTCTTGCTGGCCACGAGTACTCCTCGGGGTTGGAATCCAGCAGGTAGCGGAGTGAAGAGCTGGCCTGTCAAGGCACGAGGGGAAAAGCTACTCCAGCTCCTCCACAGTCAGAGGGGATCTGCTCAATCACATAAAACCCACACTTTTTGGGTAAAAAGCCACCTGGCTCAGAGCCCCACGGAATGCAGCAGCTGCAGGCCAGAGCCTCAGCAAACACAGCCTTGGTCCTCTCGCCCTGCAAGAGGCTCTGGGTCACGACCAGATTTCCTTCCTGCCTCACACTCAAGAACAACCTACCCCTCTGTTACCCCTCCTGCCCGATCCAGGGCTCAAAAGGGCCACCAGCGTCCCCCAACACTGCCAGACCAACCTCCCTCACACCAAAGCCAGTCCTGCAAAGCGCTTTTGGCCCGGGGGTGCTCTTCAAAGCACGCCAAGGAAGTAAAGAGACCTTCTTGTCCGCCGTCCTGGGACGAGCCGCGAGAAAAGCCAGTTTGTCCCAGTTTGCTGCTGCAAAGCCCAGCCAGAACACGGGTGTCTTCCAGTCCCTTTGCCTCTTAATCTCTGGTGGCCCCACTAAGCTCAGGTCTCAGGTGCTGCTCTCACAACCCTGCGTTGAGCCCCAGAAACCTGTACCTGCTGCTGCCACCTCTGCAGGCTCAGGGACGCTGCGACACACAAAGCACTAGGGATCAAAGGAAAAAATCAGTGGCTCACGAGAAGCACAAGGACAATTTTAGATATCCAGAGCCCAGGGAGAAGCAGGGAAGCTGTATTTTCTCTGGCACAAGCTACAAGGGACTTCGCAGCAGACTCCCAGCTCTGCCACAGGCCCTTGAAAGCGCGCAGACCGCCACGAGCCGTACCCAAGCGAGTCGATCCGACTTTCCTGCCTTTCTGGGCTCACCAGCAGGACGAGGTGGGTTCGCCCTGCCACAGAGCGTCCCTCTGCACGTCTCCTCAGAGGAGCGCCCCGCCGTCACCACCGCTGGGGACACCGTCCCCCGGGGAGGAGCCCCCACACCTCCGCTTTGAAACATGGGCTACGGGAGAGCCGTGCAACAGGGAAACAACAACTCCTCCTTGGGAGACTTTGGGAAATCTGAGGGAGAATCTGAGGAAGCCTGCCAAGAGGAAGAAAGCAGGTGGTCAGAGAGAACCTCACAAGGTGCATCTGCTTCTGCTCCCGAACCAGGAGGCAGGGTTTGCCTTGCAGCTTTGTCCTTGGCACGGAAAGCAAAGGTGCCTACGTCTCTCCCTTCCTGACTGTGTTCCTACCTACCAAAATGCAGAAAGGGAGCGTATTCAGGGAGAGAGCAGGAGGCTTCAGGACCCCTGACACTGAGAGACACCATCGACAGAACAAAAACAGAAGGAAAAGAAGCCGGTTCCAGGAAACAAAGATGAGCTGTTACAACGGAGCGGAGCTGCCACCTTCCCTGGAAAACACCTCCCAGAGTCCCGCGCCTCCATCTCGCTGGATCAGTCACAGTTTCTTCCTTCGTGTGTCCATGGAATAGGGAGTTTGCAGCTGCCATCACCGCAAGTGAAGGGTGAGAACAACGGTCACGATCACCCCCAAGAAGAGGACAAAGGGAAGCCAGGTCTTCACAAATCCCCCTATGCTGCAACACGGGGAAAAAAAGGGGGAAGGGTTTAACCGTAAGAAATCAGCAGAGACAACAGGGAGAGAAGGCTGTGAGAATAACTGGAGAAACCAGAGGGAGACAGACGCCCTTCTGACTTCCTTATCCATTGCTGGCACTGCCACACATCTCATCCTGGAGATTCAGTCAGCGTTAAGATTTGAGACTAAATCAGGTCCACAAATAACTACAACTTGAACAACAGGGCTGGGCTCTCCTTCCAGCTTAAATTCAGGTCAAAGACTAGAACCTTTCATATCTGCACAGGCCAGGCTGGTGACAGGAGACCACCAAAAAAAAAATGAAACCCTGTTACTGCAGGCCTCCTAATTCAGACTGCTGGTGTATTTAACCAGGACAGCAGGGGCTACGCTTGCCTAGAAGCTGGCAGAGAAGCTTTTCCAGACCAGGGAAGCCCCAGCAGAAGGGCAGCGACTCAAAAGCTCCATGCAGGGCAATCCTCGCAGCATCTCCTCCTCAGGCACAAAGAGCTGAAAAGGAGATTAAGTGCCCCTTCCAGTAAGGAAGGCTCGGGGTTTCCCTCTCCACTCAAGTTGGAAGTTCCATGGCAGCTGGAAATCTGACTAGTTTTTATGTAAAAAAAGATTCAAGAGAGGGAAGAGAAACCAGTAAGCCCTGGAGACAAGCCATTCTGTGACCTTATGTTCTGACCTAACCCAGCCAAAAGACAACACAGAGCGAGATTTGCTGTAACCAGCATTTCCCAAATTCCAGGCACCCTAAATTAGCTGCCAGAGACGGTATTTTGGGAGCAGCATCTAGCGCAACCCAGAAAGCACTCTCGGTTCTCTTCCTAAGAGCAGGCAGCAGGCAGTGACAGTACCACCTACCAGCGACACCCCCCCACATGTTGCGGGGGAAGAGATGTTTCTCCCTTCTCCACAGGACAGGCTGAAGCTTTAGAGGGCTAGGAAGAACGGAAGAAACGGAGCCCCTTTGCCCGCTGAGCCTAGACTGCTCCTCAGCTCACCTGACGTACTTCCCGTACAGGAGTGAGAAGAAGCAGAGTTTCACCATGTTCCAGGAGGTGCTGTTATCGTATCTCATCAAGTTTAAGGCCAGAGCCACGTGAGAATGGCAGTTGTCACAGCAAAGGTTGTGCTGGAACAGGAAAAAAAAAAAAAAAAAAGGGGCACAGGGTTAGAAATCCTGTTCTGGAGGCTCCCCAGTTCTGCACCCCGTGCCGGCGCAGAGCCACAGGGCCCACTCCTGGAGCGAGGAGCCAAAGGAGATGTTGCTCCACACACAGACAGGACATCACCACCGCAGTCCTACCATTCGGTGCTTGTACTCCTCCGAGGCGTCGTGTCCGGCCGTGTCCCAAGCGTTGGGACCGGTGGAGTATACTTTGTTAGGATCCAGCTTCCAGTACCTAGGAGGAGGAGAAGAGATCCCCTTCCGTTACTGCTGCGCCGTCACAACTTCTTGCTCTTCCCAGCGGGAAGGTGCTTAGAGGCCTTCGAGAAATCCGCTACCCCCGGAGTCCACAGAGCCGAGCGCTTCAAGACAGCGGGAGGGCAGCAGAAAGTACTGCTCAGCACCCCAAGGAGAGAGGAACTGCAGACCTCAGGGGCGCAGGCACAACCCTCAAACTGCTTTCCCAGCCCCTGATACGAAAGCTCCCGGCCATTCAAAACGTAAACCTGACCTGACAGATACACAAAACCCAGGCACCTCTCCTCCTCCCTCTGGAAAACCATTAACGGGCCGTGAGTGGTGACAGTTCATTAGCACAGCGCAGGCAGTGTTTACTTGGAGCGCTGCTTGTTAACATCATCTTAAAATGTTTTAGCCTTTTCTTTCTCTTTCTTTAAATAAAGGCTCCACAGCTGTAGTTATTAATACCATTCACGCTGCTGTCACGCTTCTAAAAAGATTTAATTTAACGTGGTTTCTTGAAAAGCAGCGACACAGTGGCCATCCACTTGAATTCGGGCATCTGAACAGCAGGAAAAGCACTATTACAGCACGTCTGTCTCCAGGAATTAAAGGACATCCGCAGGTCAGTTGGTTAGTTCAAGAAAAACGAACAAGAGCACTTACTTCACTGGCTTCCCAAATGCCATGTTGTCTTCCTACAAAAAAGGGAAAAGGTCTCAAGAGGACAACCCCGCGCAACGGTCGTGCCAGGCCTCTGGCTGGAAGGCCTCACGGCCCGCGATCGCTCGGTGCCAAAGCTGTCACGCTGCCTCAGCAGCCTCAGGACACCCATCTTATTTGTGCGCCTGGATTTCGATTTCAATTGCTTTCCTACTCCTGGCGTAGGCACGAGTGTGTTTATACTCTACGCACAGTGACAGCACGCAGCTACATCATAAGTACCTCATTTCCCCTCCTTTTTCTTTTTTTAACTGTTAATCCCTTGTTAACTAGAAGTCGTAAATGTCCCAATCTATTAAGAGTATTAATTATCCCAAATTAAACCCCCCTTACTTTCAAAACCCACTGGACCTTAAAGCACTAGGTTAGACTGGCACTCAGCTGGTGCTAAGCAGCATGACAGTAACAGGCACGCCGAGGAAGCTGGAAGGCAGCTTCTGCCACTCTGACTTGAGAGAATTTAGGTCCAAAATTCCCAGTTAACAGCCTGGACTACGAATTTTTTTCCCTTCTGCTCACTAAACTAGCCACTATTTATCCCATCCCCCAAACGACCTCCACTGGACAGCGGCCCGCAGAGAACCAGCAAACCCCCACGATCTTCAGAAACGTCTAAAGCCACTGCTTTGCAGAACCTCGAGCTGCCAAGGACAGGGAATGGCTGAAAAGTCACCAAAGAAGGTGAGAAGCGGCCCAAGCACAGATTCTGCTTAAGCACCTGCACCCATCGTCTACTCACCGAGACAAAGTACGGCCCGGCGAAGTCCCGAATGACTCCAGTCGACGTGCAGATGCCCATGTGGCCGATGATGGGGAAGAGCCATCTACCAAGACAAGAAGCAAACCGTCAGGCTGAGATATTTGCCCCCTGATGACACCGAGTGAGGGCCACACGCTGCCAGGGGACTGCTGGAGCGGCTGCACGGCAGAGCTAACGTGGTACCGGCAGCGGGGAGAGGAAAGCAGGAGAGCCAAAGCCCAGCAAAGATGGATACAGGCACAGAAGAGGTTCAAGGCAAAGAAAAAAACCAGGCAGGGGATGAGTCTAGAGTCAGCTTGTCCATGGGGCAGGCAGGCTCTGGGGTTTTATCCGCTGGGACGGAGAGCACGAGGCTCCCATGGCCTGCACCACACACGGCTCTGGCCGGGGAAGGGCGAGCCCCCGTCTCCCAGAAAAATCCACTTGTGTACCCAAGTAAAAAAGCTTAAATCCAGGAGAAACCGCCTGGAGAGAAAACAGGACTTTCCACTTCAGCGGAAAGGAAGGTCACGCTGCCCGTCCTCCCCTCCGCGCCGCAGCCCTTCACAGCAAACTGGATTTGAGCACCCCAGACAGAAACTGGGGCTCCTGGCGCCAGGAAAGGCATTCCCTCCCCTAAGTGATCCCAGGGTTTCAAAGACCTTCTCCTCCCCGCTGGATATTTACGGCCCCAGGGAGCAGCAGATTTATATCCCAACCCCCTTCCATCATCATCACTCAGAATTAAATACTCCAAGGGAAGTTACAGCGCTCTCCCACATCCTCCAGCCTTCCCAGGTTTGCCGGCCTCTCTCCCGATTTCTCCCTCCCCGAGAGCCTGCGGACGCAGCGGTGAGTATTTGGGAAGAGGTTACAGCAACACCAGACAGTGCCAGGCTCACCAGCTGCAGCTCCATGGGAGAGCTCCTAAAACTACCGAAATAAAGAGGGGCCGAGGCGGTGGGGGGTGTCACAAGGCAAAACAAGCCACGGCTCCTGCGGACAACCCCGCGGCGCAGGGAAAGGACTCGGCAAAGTTCGATGTCCTGCGCTTTTACCCTCTGCCTGTTCCTGTCTGACCCAAAGCAGCCAGACAGTTGGGCGCTCTGGGCAATGTTTTATCAGCCCAAAGGCTTGTATAATGCTGTTGTGGTGTCGCCACCTTCAAAGGTCTAGACGCTTCTTCCTTTTTTTTGAATTCTCTCAGCAGCGACTAGCTTTCAAGCCTCCAAAGCCAAGGATGACAGGAAACATCAGAGGGAGTAAAGAGAGCGATTGTACAGTCTAACAAGAGATTTTTGCCCGAAATTTCTGCTGCAAAACACCACCAACGGGAAGATGCCACTATTCATCGGGGAATGAACCCACAAAGAAATACAGACGCCCAGTGACTCTGGCGGCAGGACAGCTCTCTTCATCAGTCCCAGCGGGAGATAAGAAAGTGAAAAGCTTTGGGAAATCCTCCAGGAAAAGACTTAGGTAAAAATTTTAAGCAATCAAAAAAGAAAAGAGGTAAAAACCAAAGCTGTATGCGACACAGCAAGAGGAAAGTTGCAGCTTTCCCCTCGCCGAGGAGAGTTGCGGAGCCGTTCCTGATCCTGGCACGGACCATGCCACGTCTTCTACCTGACTTTCAGCTCTGGCTCAGTAAACACTATCACCTGATTTGAACCGGAGGGGAAGAGGAAGGCATAAAAATGTGCCTTTGTGTTCCCAGACTAGCCCCAAAGCCACATTTTACAGCTTCTCATTTTCCCACGACCAGAGAAAAACTCAGAAGTTCTCCTTGGAGCCTGCTTACGCTCAGCTGACAAGACTGGGAAGGCAAATCGACTCCTAACTCGTTAGAAGTGAAGCGCAGAGTCTCTCCTCAAGGCATAAGGCGGTCTAAGATCCCCGTAGGCCAACCTTGGCTCCAAAACCAGGAAAGCCTTCCCACGTTTCACCGGATCCGCTCCTGCAGAGACAAGCCCGCTCACCGCACAGCTTTCCCCACACCCACCCTCGCTGCGGGGAGAGGAGAGCCCTACCCCAAGGCCAGGATCCCACGGGGGCCCCGAAGCAGCC